TTAACGTAGCATCTGAATATGTAATGATATACAGGGCGTTCTATTTTAAAAAATGGAATTTTGGTCTGTAGCACCTACACCAAACACCCTGTATATTTAAAAATTATATCAAAATATAGCTCTCATGAACTCCTAAAACTTTTGTATGAAACATTTTTGTGTATCTTCTTCAACAAACCAGATATTGCCTGTCACATAAAATGTGGGACACCCGGTATATCTCTGCAGAGATTTTTTAATGAATTTATTACATCTCTAACTTCATTGTAGGTAAATTCTGTTAGAGTAAAATTTTCAAAATTCAAATTGTTTAGTTTTTTGAGCGGGTCCAAGTTTGAACTAACTATTTTTTGGATTAGGTTTTTTGAATTATTTACAAAATAGGCATTGAAGGTGTTTGGTGAGACTGGTGGGTCTTTACTTCGTTTTTCTCTGTTTTTGTTTTCCTTTATGATATTCCACATGCATTTATTTTGATATTTCGATTTTTTTATACGATTATCATTACATTCCCTTTTAGCACATGCAATAGTTTTTTTGTATATTATTTTCAAACTGTTTAGTTGATGTTTGAGATTATCAGAAGGATGCTCTGTATTCAAGAGGTGTAGCTGGTCCCGCATATTTCTTATTTCGCCATTAAACCATGTATTATTTGCTTTATTGTTTCTAATATCATATCTTTTTTCAGGAAATGAGTCCATGAACGCTTTTTTTTAATATACCGATGAGAATTTTCATTTTATCATCAGTTTTTATGTTGTCATCAATAAATGACCAATCTGTGTTTTCAATGTTGTTGTAGAATAGAAATCTACCCTAATCTGTTATATAGGTCGGCATATCTTTTTATTTATTTTCAATTTGTTCTGATGTATTTCCAATTTCAAGATTTGTCCGTGGTGGTCAGATGAATCTGTTTCTGTTGTTGTTGTTTCGTAGGGATAACATGTAAAATTTATGAATATATTATCCCTAGTAGGACAGATAATCATTTTCTGAAAACCGAAAGACTCAAGCAGATCACATAGGGCTATATTTTCTTTTAGGGTATAGATAACTCTCTAAAAGCGCAGAAGAGTTACATATTTATATTATTTGTATTAACCTTGTATTGTTTCTTGGAAACCACGACTTTAGAACTCGAAATTTTGACTTTCAAAGTCGAAATACCGAGTTTCAAGTTGTAATTTCGAGATTAAAGTCGAAATATCGAGATTAAAGTCGAAATATCGAGATTAAAGTCGAAATATCGAGATTAAAGTCGTGATTTCCAAAAAAATACATAATCAAATGATGTGGCGCTTCTGCTCTTCCGTAGATTTACGTCCTCGTTACTAGTAATGGGTTGGTTAATGACGATGTGCTTGGTATCGGCATATCTGAACAATGTCAGTATCAATAAGCTTATTTTCCGTTCGACTTTGACGGTTAGTCTTGTTCCGATGCCGTTCTTTTTAGGTTGCGCTCTGCATTTGATGTAGTTCGGGCATATTTTTATTTTATGAAAGTGCAGTGATGAGTGATGTGCTCGTGAATATAATTGATGTGTTGAGCAGAATTGTCTTATTGTTTTGGGGCGGTATAAATCGAAATGAAACGGATTTAATTAGAGACTTAGTGTTGGATTTTCTCAAGATTCGAAGGAGACTAATGAATGCTTCATTGAGTAAGATATCTGATGCTTTATTCTAGGTCAGTTTTTCTGGTTTCAAATAGTTTTTCATTGTCTGAAATATTTTTATTTTTTCTGGAAAAATGTAGAATATGATTGATTTGCCGATTTTCAGGGAAGCTTCAGAATACTAAAACGGAGAAAACAACATTTTGTGAGGAAATGAGATATTGAAATACTTTCTCTCAACGTAATATAATAATAATATAACATGTATTTAATCACTTTTTTAAGATTGTTTACATTAAAACTACATGTACATATTGAAATGAACAGTGAACAAATAAAATACATCTTACGAGGCAAAATGATCCGCCTGTGTGTAAGAAATGAGAATACTGAATCTGACATTGAATGAGATTCACGCATTAAATTAAGTATTTAGATATAAATTCAAAATAACTACATTTGAACATAATATAACTAATAAAACCAATCAATGTAACCTTGGTTACTTTGGCAATAACGTTCAGCAATATTTCGAATTTTCTATTCTCTTACCCGAAACAGTGAAAAATGTATTTTGAAGGCATCATTAATATTTGAAATGCCAGAAATAATAGAAAAGAGTGGAAACTAATCCGAGCAGGGGGAGGTATACCTCTGTCAACATTTCAATCAGACACCCTGCCACCTTTATATTTTGTTAAAGTGTTAACGAAAGGAAACGAAGAAATATAGCAGTGACAAAATCAAAAAACCGGCCGTCAGAGGCGGTACAAATCCACCAATATTTTTATTGGAGTCTCTGCCACCTTCATATTTTGTTATAGTGGTCACAACTGGAAATAAAGAAATATGGCAGAGGTGAAATAAAAAAACTGGCTGTCGGGGGCGGTACAGATCAAGCAATCTTTTTATTAGAGACTCTGCCACCTTCATATTCTGTTATAGTGGTCACAACTGAAAATAAGGAAATATGGCACAGGTGAAATAAAAAATCCCGCCGTCGGGGGCGGTACAGATCAAGTAATATTTTTATTAGAGACTCTGCCACCTTCATATNAATATTGCTGAACTTTATTGCCAAAGTAACCGAGGTGTCAATGTATTGGAATAAGCACTAGATATAGATAATAATATAAGTTAAAACTGGACATATTTGAACATAATATAAATAATTAAAAATAAACCAGTGTATTGAATGGATACTAAGTATGGATTACAGAATAATTTTGAACTCAATGGATATAGGGATCCATGACAGAAGTAAACCGTCGTAAAATAAAGTTGAATTATAAAATAAGGTGATTTCAAACATAATCGTTCCAGACTAAAAACATATTAATTTTATTCGCATCTAAAGTTTTGGTCCTAAATACCGGCAGGATTTCTGCCCAACTGATTTGAGCATTATTGGGATGACGATACTATGATTCCGACGTGTAGCATATTTATGGTACAGCAGTAATATTTACAAAAAACAGCTTTCTGGGATCAAACATTCCCGATTCTGAATAAAGAAGATCGCTAGGTTAGTCGTAACCTTTCCGTAGGATACATCTGATAAATCTCTTCTGCATAACCTCAAAAGAATGTAGATGAGTTTTCGACACTCCACCCCAACCAATTATACCATATCTCAGATGGGGCTCTACTAAACTCTTATACAATATGATTTTCTGTTTTTGATTGAGTATGTTTGCTATCCGTTTAAATTTGTAAAGTAAGCAACGTAATTTTTCAACTATGTTAGTCCAGTCATTATAGTATGTTCACCTCGGAATTCGAGATACCCAGCTGTAAGTCTGTAAATACTTGTATATTGACACCCTAAAAGTTGTCTCAAAACCTACATATGGTAGGGTGTAAGCAACTATTAAATTTCAAGGTCAACGGTCACAAAAATCGGTTTTTTGCGCTTTTTTTGGAA